TTACTTAAAGCTGCAATGCTGCCAGAGAAACCTCACAGCTTGCATTTGTAAGCTATGGTTTTCATATAAAACACATTTAATGAAAACAGGAGACAGGACAACAAGCTTTCTTCTAACTTCATTTAAACATGTTTACGTTGCACTTTAAATTCCTCTTGGGTTAATGTGAAGCTGGGCTAAAAGTTTGGAAGTGATGTAGCCTAGCTAGCTTTATTCCCTGTGTTTAGGCTTCAGGGCCTGCTAGCATATCATCTGCAGCTCCCACGACCCGTGGACGCCACTGTTCAGAAGGAACTCGCTTTTGCTCCCCTCCTGATGCCTTGAGGCTGGGCTATGGTTTTGCAGTCATACATACATCGTCTTTTCTGCAGATTTTAGAATATTAATTTTTAAAATTTGATGTTCTACTCACTTGTTCTGTTTCTCCCCTCTGTTAAAAGCATTAACATAAAAAATTCTGTGCTCTTTTTGTGTTATTCTGGAAGGAATTTTAATGGATTTGTGGAAGCATCTTTGCATGGCCTTAAGTTTTACAATGACTTACTAAGTAGAACAGAAAAACAAAGCCTTACCTGTGAAAGGTGCACATTTCATATTATATTTGAAATAACAAAATGTGTGCTTTCAAAATGTATTTATTTCAGCATCAACATTCTGCTCTTAATTAATTTACTATGTGAATTAAGAGCAGAATATTGCATCTTTTACAGAATTTGAATGCACTTAAACAGAACAGCACATGTGGCAGATTAACCAAGTGAACTAGTACTGTATTTACCAAAAAGATTGTTCACAAGAGAAGAAGACACACAGCAATTCCAAATAAATGACATTTTCAAATTCTGTTTGAATTTTCAAAAGTAGAAGAAATGTTTTATAATACAGGCAATCTTTTGGATGCTTTCTTTGAATGTTGAAAATGACAATAGCTTAAGGGTGAAAAAGATTTCCAGTTCACAGTCTGACTTGGCACTATCTATAAAAGACGGTGTAGGATTTTCCCCCTAAAACCATTTTGCCTGCCATTACATTGAGTTTTGATGCCCTTTAATCATTCTACCCAAAATTTTAATTTTGAATCAGTCCACTGAGTAGAACTCTTAAAAAAATTTCCACTGAATACTAGATGTTTCTGAAATGAGATTAAAGAAAACCCTCACAAGGTTAATTGCAATCTTCTCTTTTTCTTTCACAACACTTCCCTGAGACATGCTGCTGCATGTGTACTTTGAAATCCAGTGCTAGAGTAGGGAGAGGAGATGAAGGTGGGGAGATGGTGAGCAGGAGGGTCCACGTGCAAGCCTGGCACTCCTCTGGGCTGATGTTGCCTGCACTTGGCTTGCTGCAAAGCTCTCCTCTCACATATTCAAGCAGAAACTTGATAGAGTTTGGTAGCTAAATACTTTGAATATTTTAACACACTTGGCATCTTTCATGTCTGCAGGAGGCAAGCAGAGCTTCCTCAGGAACTGTCAAAAATTTTGTTTTGGATGACATGGATCATGTGCTTCAGATGAAAGTACAAGAAATCCTGCAATGAATGAGCAGCTCAAGCATAAGCTGAACCAAATTTTACTGTCCAAAAGCTACCAGCCAAGCATGTAATTGACTGTAGTCCAAAACCAGCTGACTGCCTCTCCCTTCCAAAATCATCATGTGCTGTATTTATTTCATCAGAAATGTGTTCTATTTGTTTTCATCCTACTATCAGATGCATGCATGAGTACCTGAAGCCATCCTGATGAGCTGCACCAAATTATATTTATTATGGCATCTTTTTTCCTCACTGAAATGGAGCTTCGGGCAGAAAATCATCTGTCCTGCTCTCACTACCATGCTCTGCTGAGCAGGCTGGAGCATACCAAGGCTGTGTGAAGAATGCTGGACCAGACATGGACAGGCAGCTGCCTCTGCAGCCAGAAGCAGACATGACTGAGACCTTCATCAGCTGTATTTCCCCAAGCCCTGGGGAAAGAGCTGGTCCATTTTCAGCAGCATCCACGTATAGTAGGTTCCATGTCCAACTTTTGGGTGGGTTTTGAAGCAGACAGTCCCATCCTAGGACTGATTTTACTTCTGCTGAATCAAGGACAAAACTCTACTCCACTCTGACAGAGGCAGAAGCATCCTCAGACTCTCTAAGTACCCATGGCTTTTTCTAAGCAATTTATCAAAGCATTAATTTTCTGTTTATGTTTCCTACAGAGCAGGGTTAATTCAGTGTCTTTTGAGTTTATGAGGCATATTGGAAGATGCCACAGAATGTTTAGTAGACAACTTGTGCTGTCATAACAGATCTTTGACTTGGTTTTTGAACTTGCCTTGGTCTGGAGTAGCATGCAAAAAGGAACTGTCTTAAATATATTCAAATACTTAGAGAGTTTATTAAAAACATCATAATTCTGAAGTGAGAGATGCAATTTTATTGTGATCTGCACAATGCAAAAAAAGGAAACATGGAACAGGGCTATACTTTTTTTATTTTAATAGCAGGAAATTAGTCTGTACTTTAACATTTATCCACAATTTAGAGAAAAAAAAAGCATATTATTCTGTGGGGTATATTTTAAATATGACAATATGATTTAGCTTCATCAGGACTACCAACAGTTCTGGAAAGAAATACCACATCATTGCATTCTATATTTAATCATTTATTTTGATTCACAAAAAGAACTTCTCTCAGGATGCTCTTGATAATTTAAAAAATTACAGCAATTATACCAGTTCAATAAATACTTCAGCTTCATCTTCTTTAGTCAACATATTACTGATAAAAGGAAAAAATAAACATGGAAGTGTTTCTCCAGTCTTTCTACATTTGGAATTAGGACTGTTGCAAACAACATGGCCACTCTGGCAGATTCACAGGGTCAAAAACTCAGAAGGATGGCGAAGAAACCACTTTGCATCCATGCTTTACCACAGATTTCTTGTATGTCCTTGGGGAAAGGCTGAGATGCTACTCACACAGTCCCTAGCCATGCAAATAGAGATTTAATATATTGGCTAAACCACTCCACCTGCCTTTGTGCTGACCTATTGCAGGGCTGACACTGCCCCCCCAGATCCAAAGGCACTATGATGGAGTATGGCACAAAGACACTTTGGTAACTTTGTAGGATCCACATCAATTCTAGCACAACAAACACTGACCCAGTGCTCTAAAGCCCAGTCAGATACTGAATAATCCATGATGTGTTGTCTAAATCACATGTACCACAGTACATCCTTCTACTGAGACTTGAAAGGAAGTAGTGCTTAATTGCCTCCACCTACCCAAAAAGGAGTGCGATGAACACTCTCCTGAGGTGCCTCTTTCTTTGATGCAAGCTAAGAAGTGCCCACAGGCTGTGGAGCAGCAGGACAGATGCCCCAGTGCCCTGCACAGAAGCAGCGCTGCCTGGAAGCAGAGGCAGGCACCAACAAGAGGCAAGCAAAGGAGTTGCACTCATGTGGTAACTATAATTGTATCTGGATTCAAAGCGTGGCACGGATATTTTGAGTATTGATGACTGAGAAGTCATTACATAGAAACAATACCTCTGATATTGTATCATATGAGTTCTAATGGTGAGTCCTTTTGTGCCTGTACACAAAGAGGATGGCATTCAATTGCCTTTGCTGCCTCTCCACATTGCCTGATAATGCAGAGACCTTTGAGGACTTAGGCATATAAAAATTGTTAATAGACAAAGACTGACAACTTAGATTGTTATCAGCAGCTTAATGAACTTACAGCTCTATCTTCTGCTCCATGGGGAATTCACTGGTAAATCCTCACTCCTCTTGCAGCACCTAGGGAGGGTGCAAGGATGAGGCTCAAGAGCTGCAGCTGAAGCAGCCTGGAGGTGCAGAGTTGCTGCAGGAATCCTCCTGGGCAGGAACCACCTGCCCCACAGGATGGGCAAAAACAGCTTTTGGTCTCTGTGGACAGAAAAACAAGATGTAAGAAATGTTGAAAGTCACAGATCTGCCTGAGTTGGTATTTGAGCCTGGTGAGTATCTGAGACGCAAAATGAGTGCCCAGGAGAGGGCTTAAGCAGGCCATGGAAGAGGAGGACTCCTAAAACCCACACAGGGTGGATGTAGCAAGGAGAAAACTCTCAATGTGCAACATGAGTATGGTGGTCAAGATATAATAAAATATTTAAATAAATTCTCTAAATGAATGTACCATGCGATGATTCAGAGGAATTGCATCACTGCAAATAAGTGATACAGCAAATCAGTTTTCTAACCGCAATCCTTTTAAACTGTGAACATATTGAAGAACATATGGTAGACAAAATGCTTTAGGTCCAGAAATCCTCCCTCAAAGAAATGTCTGCAGAAAATACAGTTTCAAAATATACCAAGAACAGTCCATTTGAGGATCAGGCCACCTCTGCCAGGGCCCAACTGCTTACTCTGACAGCACCACTGGCATGAAAAGGACGGGAGACTGTCATTGAGAATAATGAACCTATAAGCATTTGCTTTTATTTCAGTAACTTTGTGTTACTAGGAACTTCAGTATTCCGTCAGTGAAATGCTTAGGACAATAAATAAACATGAAGAAATAGCAGTCAGTAAAATAGCCTGTACTTTGCTCTTTACTCTTTTGCTCTCATATAATTACTTGGGCTTTCAATGAGGCAGTAGAGTTTTGTCATTTCCTAGTATTTTAGTAAAGCTTTTTAGTAAATGCTTCCTGGCCCTATGGAAATGTTTCCTTTTTATTTTGAATCAAGAGTAATTTCACTGGCTGGAAGGAGCTTAACACTCACCCACACTGAGGCAGGACTTTTGCTACTGCTGCCACTGCCTGACTCTGCTTTTTCCATGGTATCTATGACTGTTGACATCTGGAGGTTTTTCCACATGGGTGAGTTGGTGTGATGTTAAGCTGCTGGAGAGCTGGGGAGTTTGAGCTGTAAGTGGGAGGAGAAAGCAGGAGCTCGGTAGTGACAGCGTGGTGGCACAAAGTCCCACGGGGGCAGTAAGGATTCTTGCTATGACTCCTCTTGTCTAACAGGGAAAATGAATCAAATTTAAGCGTATGACGCTTGGGCTTAGCGGCCTAATTCATTTTGTACCATTCTACTCTGGTATAAAGTGCATATTTCATCCTTCTGGTGGTGAACCTAGAGCCAAAAATGATCTGTTTGCTTTATCTATCTACATATCGTGATCTCCGCCACCCGCACCCGTCTTTGTGAAACCACATCCTCCACTCTTACCAGCCCTACTCGTACCCATTGCTGGGTATCGCTCTGAGGGCCACCCGCGGCACGCAGCTCCCGGCCCGCGGCAGCGCCGCCCCACACGGGCTCGGCCCGGAGGAGGCGCGGCCCGGCCCGGCCCGGCCCCGGGGCCGCCCCAGGCGCCGCCATGGCGGGCGGAGCGCGGCGGCTCTACCGCCGCATCCTGCGGCTGCACCGCGCCCTGCCGCCCGCCCTGCGCGACCTGGGCGACCGCTACGTCAAGGAGGAGTTCCGGAGGCACAGGGCGGCCGGGCCCGCCGAGGCCCAGCGCTTCCTGCGGGAATGGGAGGCAAGTGCCGCCCCGCGGGGCAGGGACGCGGCCGGGAGCGGCGGGGCCCGGCGGGCGCGGGCGAGGCCCGGCAAGGTCAGGGGTGCCGGGCGGTCGCAGCTGTTCGGGTGTCGGACTCGCTGATCGCAGAGGTCTTTTCCAGCCCAGCTGGTTCTCTCTTCTCGGGCATGATCCTGTGAAGGGCAACCTCCTTACAGAGCCGCAGAATGCCTTGTAACTCCATGGGTCTAGGCAGGTTGTCTTTTATGGTTCTCAGTGCCTTGCCTCGAATGCGTGTGAGCATACTTATGCACACACAGGTATATGTAACAGAGTGGTCATATAATTATCTATGTATGAATATATGTAAATAAAAGTATACACACAGTTATCTGTGTGATCTATAATAATGCATCATATAAGTCTATATAAATATTTATGACTACATGCATAACAAATTGTATAATTATAATTAGCTAAATATAAGTGTAAATAGCTTCCCTGTGAACTTGCATTTAATTTCTGAGTAACATTTTTTCAGTGTTTCTTAAGGAAACAAGTCTTCTGTCAACATTGTTCTCTGCTTAATGCTCCTTCCCCTGAACCAAGGAGAGAAAAGCAGATTGCTCCCAGATGATGAAGTTGTAACAAGTTTCACAAGCAGCAGAGGAAGGAGACCCATAAGGTGCTTTCCCCACATGCCTGGACCCCAGTAGATACCAACATATTAATAGGTCCCCAAGAAGTCCACATGGCAGGCAGATGTACAGACAGAGGAGGAGCTTCAGTTAAAGTATGAACACAGCTGCAAGAGACAGATGTATAGACAAGCTTCCCATTAATTTTCATGCTTCCTGAACTACTGGCTTGGTAGTACTTTTGAATCTCAAAACTGTTTTCCTGTCTATGGAAGGAAATTCTGTTCTGCTTTGCAGTGGAAGGTGGTTAGCAAAGGTTGCATTCATTGCCTCCCAGTTTACCAGAAGAAGGGTAATGGGGGAGAACTGCCCCATCCCTTCTACCTGCAGTAGCTGAAATCTGGAGGATTAAGGTAACAGCTGGGGCATCAGGAATAAGCAGGGAGAAGACTGCCTGGTATTTTCTACAGAGGATAGGAATAAGTGTATTTTAATTGCCTCTTGCCAACTGATAGATCCTCAAATCAGAGAAATTTGTATCAACCTCTCAAATGCCTGATGCTATTGTAATTTTCAATTGCCGTTTACTTAATACTGCTGAAATGTTTCTGCATCACTGCTTTCAATTTTAACATGAGCTAAAGAGACAAGTTACAGGTTACTATTTTCAGTGCTAAAATCTTCCTTAAAATAGTTTTAGAAAAGGAAAGAAATGTTTACATTGAAACATCTTTAGCCATTTTTAAAGGGAAGTATACAAATAGTGAAAATGTTTCTCAGTTCTGAAATGTTTTAAAGGTAGATTATAGGGAAAATGGTGACAAAATTTAGACTACAAGTAACAAGTTGAATTTTGAAACCTGACATTTAGTGCTATTAGCTATGATATGTTCAAGGAAAAGAAACTAATTTAATAACTGTTTTGAGTGTGTGAATATAAAGAACTTTGCAAATATGTCTGTCTTCTAACAAGATGCTGGGAGATATTAGCATGTAGTTAACGTGTCTCTTCTCATCTTTAATTTTTGTTTTGTTCTGGGGTCTTTTTCTTACCCAATAAAAATTTATTTCAAGTGTGAAATTTAAATCAGACTTTCACATTTTTGGCCTGTGAGACTTGCTTTGCAATATGCTGTGATTCCCAGCCCCATGAAGACTTGAATGAGGTAACTGAGGAAAGTGGACTGTGGACAAGCTGGGATTATGTAACTCTGGGCTATAATTACATGCTAATTAATTCATGTTGGAGTCAGTCCTCTGTCCTGGCTTTGGCTAAGATAGAGTTAATTTTCTTTGTAGTAGCTTGTTCAGTTCTGAGTTTTGGATATAGTGTGAGAATAATGTTGGTAGTGCACTGTTGTAGCTGTTCTTAAATGTGCTTACTCCAAATCAAGTATTTTTCAGATGCCCATGCTCTGCCACTGAGGAAATGCACAAGAAGCTGGGAGGGAGAATGACCAGGACAGCTGACCCAAACTGGCCAAGGGATATGCCATACCATATAACTTGTAGTATGTTCAATACATAAATTGGGGGAAGTTGGCCATGGGAGATTGATCACTGCTCAGGCGTGAGCAGGGCATCAGTCAGCAGGTGGTGAGCAGTTGTATCCTGCACCACTTGTTTCTCTTGTGTTTATTCTTTGCACCCTTCGTGGGCAGCAGGACACCCTTTTGAAACAGGTTGGGAGCTCCAGGACAGTTCTTGCAGGACACACCAGCACAGCTGTGGAGTGCTTAGGTTCTTGCCTAAGAGTCACCCAGTTAGCCACGAGTGAAGCTGAGATAGTGCTGCTGCTTTACGTTCATGGACCATAACTATTTACTGCCTCTAATTTTATTAAATGAAACAAAAAGCAATCAAACCAAACAAAAATTCCACTGAAACAAATTTCTACAACATTAATACAAACTGGCTGTTTAAATTTCCTGTTAAGTTTCTTTTATTTTGGAAGAATGCATACTTACATCTCTGATAACAGTATTTTGGCGTGTTGCGTTTCCAGCTTTTTTCTTCCCAATTTTCTTGTTCATTAGGCTAAGCATATACCTTGCTGTATGCACTTTGGTGTTGTCAATATTCAGCTTCCATCTGGAAATGTTCTTTCCTTATGCCTTCTGTTGCATGCAGGGCAGGGCATCTGGTACAGGGTGGCACGATGTCTCATGTTACAGAAAATTAGTGTTCTTAATTTTATGTTAAAGTAATATATCTTGATGTATATTCATCAGAGGGTAAAGATTATGGATATGATAATTGCAGTGATGTTTCTTGACTTTGAATGAGGATTTCAATATGAAGTGTAATCTTAATAAGTCATCTGAAATGCTTTTTGAATGAAAATTTCCAAGGCTGTCTTATTTTAACATGAAACTACTTGACTATTCCTAAAACTCTTCAGGCTCTCTTTGGGTAGTCAGACCTTCTGGGTGTGCCTGGATATACTAGTTCATAGCCTGTGGTGTGTTTTCTTGTCCTCCAAATGATTCATAGTAGCTAAATGTTTAGAAAACAGGCCTGGCATTTCAATTACATTATGGTTGCCTCAAACGATGCCCCTGCCTCCTTGCTATTTAAATTATGTTGATTCAAGGGAGCTGGACATATTAATTCGAGGTTGTAGCTAGGTGGGAGTCAGCCTTTTGTCCCAGGCTGCTAGTGACATGGTGAGTGAGCATAGCTCCAGGTTGTGCCATGGGGAGGTTCAGGTTAGACATCAGAAGGAATTTCTTCACAAAAATGGTTGTTAAGACTGCCCAGGGAGATGGTGGAATCAATATCCCTGGAAGTGTTCAGGAGATGACTGGATGTGGCATGCAGTGCCGTATTTTAGTTGAAAAGTTGTGTTTGATCAAAGGTTGGACTCCATGACCTTAAAGGTCTTTTGCAGTCTGTGATTGTCTCTCACAAATGGAACAAATTTCCTTTATTTCTTGTGAAACATGGTGGAAAACCTGTAGGGAGGTTTCTAAGATCAGCTTTAAAAATAAAGGGGAGGAAAAAAGAGGTAAAAAGCTCTGAAATTGTATTGCTGTTGTATGTGAGTGGTTCATGTTGTTTTCCTGTAAAGGAAATGAGAAGGGACCTCATCTTGTCTAGAATGCACAGGAATTGAAGGATTTAATGTTAGAGCCAACCATTAGATGGCTAATGAAGTTTTGTAGGAAACCTAAGCTGACCTATTTATAAAATAGGGAAACTATCCACTGAATATTCTTGGAAGAGTTTTTAAGTGGGTATGACCAATAGTAGGACCAAATCCATATGTGCTTATGTAAAAGTAGAAGAATATAAATATTACGATTTTCTTATCATTGGCATTAGATTGCTATTTTATGTCTGGAAACCTGCTGGGAAATATTAAAGTGGGGTACAAAGAAAGTATGCTTTGTTGTTCAGGAATTATGCTTGTTCAGGTAGATTCAAATTAAGCATATAAATTATTAATATATGTTCCTATCTATTTTCTAAATATTTAATATTTTAATTAAAATAATTGGTACTCGTTTACAGGAGACTGCTGATATAATTAGATTGATACTGATTATTACCTTGGAATGGTATTGAATTAATGTTGACAGGTATGATAAACCAATTAGTTCAACAATCTTCTAAATCATGGTAGCTGATGAGAATGCTTACATAAGATAAGTAATATTAAGATAGTATTGATTACTTCCTTTCAGATTGCAATAGGTACAATATTCAGCTAAATAATTTCAGTAACAATTTGTTTCACATTTAAGCATTAATTTTGAAAATGACCATTTTGTACTTGGCTTTTTTTAAAAAGCCTGACCCTGTAGATGAGAGGGCCTGGACTGTCTCTGAGACAAGCAGAAGCATTCTGCAGAATTACACAACATTTTCTCAATTTAATATATTGAATAAATTACTTTTGAAATTCTTTGGCCACTCTTGACCTTGAAAATCTTTTTACAAGCTTTCAAATGAAGTCACGTAGCCTCTTAGGAATGACTAAATTTTTGAATCAGTGTATTTGATGCAATACAAGTAATTGTCGTTCATCAAATTTATTTTCAGTTGCCTGTGTCACTTGCAGTATTTACTTTGCTGGGATGATTGTGGGATGCTGTTGTATCTCAGAGAATATTGCAGTTCTGATACGTCTTTTTCTGCTCATGAGCAGATATACTTACAGAACTTTTTGCTTCTTAATTTTCTGAGCGAGTATAATCTTCCCTCCCCTTCTTGATTTATTTTTAATCTACTAGCACTCAAAAATATATTGAAATGTTGGATGGAGAATTTGAGGAGCTAGTAGTCAAAGAGGGTGGAAGAGGAAATTGTGGCCAGTACTGGAATCAGACTGAAATGGGTATGGGATGTGTGGGTTGCCCTTTGTGCTGTCTTTCAGCAAAT